TGGAGCGATGTTCTCTTTTTCAGTCGTTTCTAGAGCTGTCTCTTATACACATCTAGATGTGTATAAGAGACAGGGGGGGAGGGGCGTGGTCCAAAGTTCGATGAGTTTAAGAATGTGCATGGCAGACCAGGGAGGGGGAGGGGAGGGGAGGGGGATCGGAGGCAATGGCTATGGCAACTGGGAGCGGCTGCAAGCCATCACCCTACCGCCCCCATGCTCCAAGCATTCCACTGCAGACCAACCAATTGAACCTACAGCTCTTGTCATAGCTGCCTGTCAACGATAACCGCAGGGCACGACACATGCACACACTACCAGTCCTTGTCAAAGGCATGGTTTTGCATCAATCTGCTGCTGAACAAAAGCCGATACCTTATAATGATCTGCACATTGGCTGTACCTACCTGACCCACAAAAAACACTACACTAATCGATCATGCGCTGCTCCCACCTAATTGGAGGAGGAGGCACAGACAGAGATCAACAGAAACACACGCGCAGATTTACTGACCCCTAAACTTAAACCAGTTCCCCCGACTCTACTCTTTTTTTTTCTTAGAAAATGACTACGACAAACTTCAGAATATGAACAGAATTCAGAAAACTACTCAGAAACCCCCCCCACCATCCACTTTACCTTACTCCGGCAAGACTTACTCTGCTGCCTGGAACAATATAGGTGTGACACCACCAGTCCCTTTCCCACCTATTTTTTTGTTCCAACGCCGTTTTAACCCACCGCATAGTCGGGGGCTCGGTTTACCAGAAGGACAAGCTTGGCCGGCGGCGCCAGCCAAACGAAAATATTCCACGCCCACACCATTTCTTTCCTGTTTTGGCCGCACACTGCGCACAGCATTAATCCAGGTACAGAAAAAAACAAGGCTCAGAGGGCGTGGTGGTTTATAACAATAACGAGCGGGGCTCAGGAGCAGATACGCCGCGGCACAACACCCCTGGGCGGGGTACAGCGGTGCACATGGGGTTCCAGAACACAGTGCTGTGTCTGTCATTACTGACTCGTTAGGATTTGAACCCATGAGCGGTTTATCAACGATTCAGGACTGCGGCACTGCAGCTAATAATCACCTATTTATAAACAGCTGTGCACCATTCAGGACTCGAACACATAACCTGTTCATCAACAACCACATGTGCGTGCCATTCAGGGTTTGAACTCACCCGTTCTCTTCCACACCACCACTTTAAGGGATTATATCTTCATATATATCTGATTATATCTTCATACATATATTCATATATATCTTCATATACTAATATTAATTATTCGATACAGCCACACCTGTGGGGCAACTGGGGAGGGAGTGCGGCGAATGTACCTGGTCAGGAAGCAGAAGGGAGCTTGTTTTCTGGGGGAGGGAGGGCGGAGGGGAGAGGAAGTCACCCAGCGCCGCTTCCCACTAGCCAGGGCACTGGTGAACGGCAAGGGTGGGCGAGCACAAAGCTGTCTCTTATACACATCTAGATGTGTATAAGAGACAGCTCTCTCTCTCTCTCTCTCTCTCTCTCTCTCTCTCACACACACACACACACACACACACACACACACACACACAACCAACACACATTTCTATCACGAAGGTGACCCCTACCGCATCATCAGAAAATCTTGGGACTCCAGGTCCTGGTGATTTTTTTTTTGTTTTGCTTTGTTTTTAAAACGGGAACGGCCTTGAGATATCATCATCGATCTGACGAGCCCTAGGTAGTTCAGAATTGTATGTAGTATTTCACTCATTTCCTTCCAGTGGAGTTCGAACTCAGGTCTGTACTTCAACAGTTCAGAGATGTGTCAACTGAGAGCTTTTCTCTCTTCTTTTTGTCTTACCATTCCAGTAGAGCTACTAACACACAAGATGTGTTATTTATTTCACCAAATTCAAATTAAGGGAAAGAAGCCACCACATTGACCAAACACGTAATTCATGCAAGCTATGTACAAGTGGAAACCATTGAAGAAGAAAAGAGATACACGAAAGAGAGCAACAGCAGCAGCAGCAGCAGCAGAAGAAGAAAAAGAAGAAGAAGAAGAAGAAGAAGAAGAAGAAGAAGAAGAAGAAGAAAGAAGAAGAAAGAAGAAGAAAGAAGAAAGAAGAAAGAAGAAAGAAGGAAAAGGAAAAGGAGAAGAAGACAACGAAGAAGAAGAGGAAGAAGAAGAAGAAGAAAAGAAGACGAGAGGAGACGAAGAAAAGAAGAAGACAGGAGAAGAAGAAAAGAAGAAAAGGAGCAGAAGGACAAGAATCCCCAACCGTGCACAAGGAAGAACGCCAATGGTCAAGACCATTCATTCTTGCAGAGACCGATTGCACAAAAAGCCTTAGTTCCATGCATGAACTTCCATCTTTTGTTATCCTGGGACCAATCCTGCAAGTACCTCCTCTCCCGCTTGTTCCCACAGGAGCAGCATGCAAACTGGGTTACCTCCAGACTCTCGCTTGTCACAACTTCCACGTGTCTCAAGAGTCACGAGGCCTGCAAGGGTCTCTCAGAAATCATTAGCCTTCACGACAGCATTACTTCAACAAGATGAGAAAAGAAGGAAGCTACCGTGCCTGATCTACCTTCCATTCGCTAAGGTGGGCATGTGGAACACGTCTGCTCAAGTACAATTCTCTTGCTCTCCGTCCGAGGAAGAACTTTCACCCCTCCTTAAGAAGAATTTTCACCCCTCCTAAAGAAGAATTTTCACCCCTCCTTAAGAAGAATTTTCACCCCTCCTTAAGAAGAATTTTCACCCTCCCTAAGAAGAATTTTCACCCCTCCTTAAGAAAAAATTTCACCCCTCCTTAAGAAAAATTTTCACCTCCCAACTCCGAGCCACTGCCAAGCCATTCCTGTGGGTATCAACTTTTAAGTTACTATTAACCCAAGTGGATGGCACTTGACCTCCTACAACTTGCACGCTCTGTAAACACCCTACCTCTGTCTAGGGATTTCCCCAAAATCAGGACATAACACAACTGGGTTTTAAAACTCCTGCTGCAGCAGCAGCAGCAGCAGTGGTGGCAGCGGCGCACGTAAAAGACGATGCAATGCATTTACTCGGAATAAGAAAGCAAAAAGACAGCATCAGTTCAACAGAGACTGAATCGCATATGGGTCCCTCCCTTCCCCCCCCCCCTCCTCCTTCCCTCCTTCCCTCCTTCCCTCCTTCCCTCCCTCCCTCCCTCTCTCTCTCATTCAAACTGCTGGAAGCATTCTGGCTTGCTTTCAAGTCTGAACTTTTTTCCACCCAAAAGGAAATCCCCTCATCAACTGCCCGTTCAACGCCTCTTTCCTTATCCCGTAGATGCTGCTGCTGCCGACACCCCGCTGCTGCCGCCTGCCATTTCACTCTCTTCTTTTCCGCTTTTCTTCTCCTCCTCCATCCTGTGCTTGTTTCGGCGAACTTGCTCTTCCTCTGCCATCTGTGCTGTCAGCATTCTTTTAATCACCGCCTTGTCGACCGTCGGAAACACCTCTCCAAGGACAACATCCAGCAGTTCCATGTCACGTTCATTCATGCCGTCATCACCTAAACACGATTTGGAAATCGCTTCAAGAGCCACAGCAGCACGAGCCTCCAGGGGAAGCTTCGCAGCCTTCGCTTTGGATTTTGCGCGCCTCTGTCGCACACAGCGAGCGTTGCACAGCCAGCCAACACACCAATCGATCATTACCATTTTGGCATTTTGGCACTTTCTTGTCAGTTGCGTCACCAGTTTTCCGCATACGAACCGGAAAAGAAGGAAAAACAATGGATCGGTTCCACGCACTACGATTATTTTCGTTATTTTTTATCGCCCTTTTGACACATTTATGCATACGAACAGACAATGAACAGAAAAGAAAAACTAGCCCAAGTGCGAGTCAAAACAAACCCGCAACTTAAGAAATAAAAAGGGACAATGCCATCATTTGATTCATTTCTGAAATTCCAGCTCACTCACACACACGCTCATCCCCACAAAAGGTATGCATAGCTGGCAAGCCGAACAAGGCCCTCAACAAAGAAGAAGAAGAAGTAAATATACATAAGCAATTGGCAAAAAATATACTCTCCCTCAACTGAGCTGTACGAGGACGACCTGGGAGTGCAAAGAGTGCAACAGTCGTGGAGTAGGGAGGGAAGAAAGGAAGAGGTTAACTCCATCCGCAATGCATTTCTTCTGTGTGAACTTTTGCTTACACCCCCTCTAGATCCAGGACCTGCCCTGGTTAGCCGAACAAGGCCCAGCACGGGACCAGTTTCTGGCAGTTGAAGAGGGGAAAATCTGCGCCTCCTATGATTACCACGTCGAAAAAAGTAGGCCCTCCTATGTTGTGTAGTGGTGGTTTTAATCGTTCTCTCTCTCTCTCTCTCTCTCTCTCTCTCTCTCTCTCTCTCTCTCTCTCTCTCTCTCTCTCTC